ACTCTATCGCCGCCGATCTCGACGGAACGCTTCTGATCTCCGGAAGTTCGTTCCCCTACTTCATGCTCGTCGCCATTGAAGCCGGTAGCCTCCTCCGCGGCCTCGTTCTCTTGCTTTCGCTTCCGATTGTAATCATCGCTTACCTCTTCATCTCCGAGGCCATCGGAATCCAGATCCTCATCTTCATCTCCTACGCTGGCCTCAAAGTCCGCGACATCGAACTCGTCTCCCGCGCCGTGTTGCCTAGGTAATTTAGGCGGTGGAGACCGATTCGAATTCGAAATCGATTTGCAGAGCGCGCGATTTCATAAAAAAAATCCAGATTATTCGCGCGTTCGATTTCTTTTCAAATTCTGTTTCATCGCTCTGTAATTGGACGAATATTGTGCTTTTTCCACTGCTCGGGAGCTGTAATTTTAACTGATTACTGGAAATTTTTGCTCTGTGTTGTGTGTTTATTGTGTCTCTGTAATCTGCAGGTTCTACGCGGCGGATGTGAGGGCGGAGAGTTTCGAGGTGTTCGACAAGTGCAAGAGGAAGGTGGTGGTGACGGCGAATCCGACGATAATGGTGGAGCCTTTCGTGAAGGATTTTCTCGGCGGAGACAAAGTTTTGGGGACGGAAATCGAAGTGAACCCTAAGACGAAGAAGGCCACCGGATTCGTGAAGAAGCCGGGAGTGTTGGTCGGAAAATTGAAGAGATTGGCTATCTTGAAGGAATTCGGCGAGACTTCGCCGGATCTTGGGATCGGAGATCGTGAATCCGATCACGATTTCATGTCTATCTGCAAGGTACGCCCCCATACTTCCCCAAATTTAGGAAAATTGCACACGAATCCCATTTCAATCTCCATCTGCATGATTTTTGTTTCATTACATTTAGGGTTTGATAATTGAACCTATGTTTATATATACTTCATAAGTAGATTAGTTTTTGAAATTATATCAAATAAATGTTATATATATTAACCTATGTTCATATTTAACCTATCCTTTTATTCTATGGAATTTAATAAATTGCAAACTAGTTCAACTGATTTGTATCGTCAATAAAAAAGTTAGAGTTTCCAATCCACGTGTCAATATGTTTTTGAACTAAAAAAATATATAAATTTACTAAATAAATGTGGAACATATCATTGTTAAGAATGCAATCAAAGTCTCTAATTAATAAGAAGATTATCGGTATATAAGTGAGAGACAATATTTTTATTGGTACGAAACTTCACGACTTAGTTTAAAAGGAATAATATTAGCTTGTTGTAGCATACCAAGAAAGAAAATAATGGATTTTATAAAGTAATATCCAAATGTGGTAATACTAATTTTTTTTAATAAACATTGTATATTTTGTGTTATCATTTATGTGTATATTTTGTGTTGTCATTTATATGTCGTATCTTGATCTCGAACAATGATCCTCTAGTTTTTGTTTAATATATTTACTTTTGCAAAAGGGAACATTTAAAAAGGAAAAGAAAATTCAGAATACAAAATTTAATTTATTTAAGACACGTGTCGGTTCATAAATGGATGAGAAGAGAATCATGGACTTGTAGCCGGTCGAATTGAATTTCGTGGGACCCACCGCTGTAAAAATTTGCTCATCCACCTCACCGGCTTAAACATTTTACAAATTGGAGTGGTCCCCACAGACGACTCCTATTGATGAACCGAAAATTCTCTTAAATTTTATATTAATGAATGCCTCCCTGTCTATAAACAGCCCAACGTGAGGAATTAATGCGCACCAACCAACCTAGGGTAAGATAAATAAGTCTGTGTTTTGATAACGATTTCGTTATTTATTTTCTGTTTCGTTGTTAATTATGTCGAATTTTCGTCAACATGAATTTAGTTTAACAATGATTAATATCTGTATGTTATTAAGAAGTTATGAGTTTGTCTGTTATTAAGAAGTTATGAGTTTGAATCCGCATATTCATACTTATTGTACTATAAAAAGTTACGTTGGAGTTTTTCTCAACTTTTTTAGACTATTCTATTTTATCAGCTAAATTTTATTTTGTCATTGAACTTTTCAGCTCCCTTAATTTTATATTATTACTTTTTTTTTTGCGGTAATTAAAATGTTAGATATGTGTAAATGAGAGCTTCTACATTCTGAGTCATTCTTTTTGATTATTGAACTTGTTTTTTCTATTTGGGCATAGTCTCCTTTGAGTGTTTATAATTTCTTCATTATATTTATATATGATACTTTTAGTAAAACTTATTGTATTGTAGGGTTTGTTGATTTATATTGATCCCTGCTGTACTTCGTAATTTCTCTATTCAATAATGCATTGAGATGTTGATATAGGTTAGAAATCTCAAATTTTGTTTCAGTATAATTGAAGATATGTCTGAATTTGAAAAGAATAGTTAGGTTTTAAAAAATTTCTTTTAAATCAAACAAATCCCGTATCTATAATTTAGCCCTGTAGCGGGTAGCCTATGGCATAGTTATTCCATCCTTTTGCATTTAAAAAAAAAAAATCTTTTGTTTAAATTTATTGTTTTTTTTTTCCTTTTTTTAATGTTCTAATCCATTAGAACTTTTTTCCAAATCCTCCAAATGGTAGGTATCTTCTTCCTTTTTGTTAGTTTGTTATAAGAACAAAATAGTTATTTCTGATAAGGCCTTGATTATGAAACATTTATGTGATCAAACATTTTTTCCAAAATAATACATTATTATTGCCACTAATCAGTTGGAGTTATTACTCACTCTCTGATGTGCATTCTGTTTATTGTCTGATTTATTTCTATTACATTTATATGATGTAATAGTTATAAATATAATATGTTTGCTATGCAATTCCTTTGTAAACGTAACAAAATTTCTCATTATATTATTATCCCATATTTTGTTATTCAATTTTGGTACATAGTTCAGTTGATCAAAATATCAGTAACTTCTTGTATTTTATTATGCAATTTTGGTACATTGTTTAGTTGGTCAAAATATTAGTAATTTCTCTTAAATATGATGTAGATTTTTTTAATATAACATGTGAGGGTGGAGATCGAACCCACAACTTTTTTTTATTAGAGATTAATATATCAATCATCGCTGACCTATGGTCACTTTTACGTTCATTTTGTAGAATTTGAACAGGGACCTGATTGTGTTGAATTCTAATACTAACAAAAACTATATATGTGGGATCTTTACAGGAGGGTTATATGGTGCCCCGTAGCAAATCAGCGACGCCGGTTCCATTAGATCAACTGAAAAGCAAGATCATCTTCCATGACGGGCGCCTGGTCCAGCGCCCCACCCCTCTCAACGCTCTCATCACCTTCATATGGATCCCCTTCGGCTTCATCCTCTCCCTCATCCGCGTCTACTTCAACCTCCCCCTC